TATTATTTTGAGTGCACCTCACGACAAGTGCACGTCAGATTTATTATGCCTCTTCCAAATTAGAAAAGGCTTCGTATGAATTTGTTTAGTAAAGTCGTAAGTGAAAAAACTTTAAACGTACTTCGTCTAGAAAAACGAGACTTGTTATGGAGTACTCTCTCCCTTCCAAAATTATCTTCATTCTTTCCATTTCGGTCCGTTTCAAATTTGTCTACCATTTCCCTTTTTGGCAAAAAAATTGTGTTCAGAATCATTCTTACACATTTCTATCTCCTCTGCACAACTCTCCATCACATAATTCCACTACCTTATAAAATGTGCCGACTAAAAAACGAAGTTTTTATTGGAACGGAGGGAGTATTATGTTTGTATTGATGTTGGGGCCTTGAGTTTTATTTTGCCTTCAATATGTCAAGGTCTGTACCGATCCGGTGTCCTGACTTCGTCCCTGGCTCACGTTATTATGCTTTTAATTTTTTCATTGTGTTTTGTATTACTCTAGGTCATTAGACAACTACATTGTTGCTATATTTCTTAGATCAACATTTATTTTCTCTAATTTGTATTCAAACACGTAAAATTTGTTTAGTGAGTTTCACGAGGAAGCACGAACATATCATAGTTTTGGCTTGCGTAGTTGTACAGATATGTTACACAGATATTATTGGGCATTTTCGCTCGCTTGATTTGATCCAGAACATGTTTGCTCCCTTGATTATAGACAAGGGAAACATAGACAAGCAACATATGTGTGAAAGTACATATAAAAGTGCAAGCTTTACACCATCATACCTCAAGGTTCCTGGATCAGTACTCTTGTAACTGCTTATTGCCTTCAAGATGTCATTCCTTGTAACTGTTTTCTTGCCTGCCAAATACCGATTCCAGATATCTCTTGTGGGCTATTCTGACAGCATCGGCTTAACACCACTCAGTTTTAAACCAGTGACTATTGCCAAATCCTTCTTTGTGAAACTTATCACACTTTTCTGGATATGGAATCTCATTACATTCTTGTCAACAAATCCATTAACATACTGCACATAGTTTCCTACCAATCCAAGTTGTAGTTGTCCACTAACCCATTCCATGCTATCAAAATCTGCCAGCCAACCAAAAACAGTTGTTTTGAAATCCTCCAACTCCTCTCTACTCAGAACATTCCTGACCCTTTCCATTACTTTGTGAAGATTGCAGTAGGAATTGACACACATGTCATCCAATTTTGCCAAAGTTGTCCTCTTGAAGTATCTTGTTATTGTCTGTTTAATTGACTTTAATAAACAAATCAGTACAATTCACTTTTTTAAAAATGTATTACAGAATGCATGAATATGTCATTTTTTATTCTTTTTTTTCAGAAAAAAAAAATACTAGTAAAAGAATAATATCGTCACAATGCACTATAGAATGTCATTAATATGCATATCTTTTGTTTAATATGTTAACACATTTATACATATCATTAACCATCATCTCAGGCATGTGAGAATAAACCAAATATGGCATTTCATTCTCCTAAATTACACTGATATGCCATTATGTCAAAATGCAACCCAAACATTACCACAAAAAAAACCTGAAACAGAGAACTCATTCATATCATATCATATTAAACACACTAAAGAGACAGAAGAATGTCTTCCCAATGACCTACAGAATGCCATGAATATTCACTTCTTTTGTTTATTATGTTTAGGTTTACAAATTTATACATATCATCCACCATCATCTCAGGCATGTGATAATAAACCAAATATGGCATTTCATTCTCCTAAATTACACTGATATGTCATTATGTCAAAATGCAACCGAAACATTATCACAAAAAAACCTGAAACAGAGAACTCATTCATATCATATCATATCAAAACACACTAAAGAGACAGAAGAATGTCTTCCCAATGCCCTTTAGAATGCCATGAATATTCATTTCTTTTGTTTAATATGTTTAGGTTTACAGATTTATACATATCATCCACCATCATCTAAGGCATGTGATAATAAACCAAATATGACATTTCATTCTCCTAAATTACACTGACATGCCATTATGTCAAAATGCAACCCAAACATTATCACAGAAAAACCTGAAATAGAGAACTCATTCATATCATATCATTTCAAAACACACTAAAGAGACAGAAGAATGTCTTCCCAATGCCCTACAGAATGCCATGAATATTCACTTCTTTTGTTTAATATGTGAACAAATTTATATATGTTATTCACTATCATCTCATTCATACTTCATTATAAAAATATAATTGCATTTAATTCTCGTAACTTCCACTAATATGCCATTAAGTCAAAATTTAACCAAGCATTACCAACAAAAAAATATATCACAAAACACAATTATATGGCATTGAATATTACTAAGTTCCACTAATATGGCATTATGACAGTTCCATTAAATGCAAACCAAACATTATCAAAATAAACAATAATTTGGAACACATATATGGCATTCATATGCGTCATTAAGCACAAATAACCTAAGAAATTTTCATTTCAAAACAACATCACATGACAAAACCTAGAATTAATAGTCTATAATTCCATTAAAAAATAACATAAACATGATTGAGGGATGTGTAAATTCCACTAAACATTTGTTTTATTTGACATTTGCCTGTTATTAAGTTCTTACTCATCTAAATGCCATTACCGAGTACTTATGTTAATACAATACCAATATCTTTCAAATTTAACCAATAAATTCCATTTCAATGATCGTATACTCATTTAGTTATTCGAAAATTCCATTGTAGGTAATCACAAGCTATACATACCATTGTGGAGTTGATTCTAATGTCCAGCGAACTTGGCATCACCGGTGGTAAGTTTGAATCCTCATTTCCATTTTGGAAATCAGAATCATCCATCTTCGTTCAAGCCTGAACTATAATCCTTTGCAACGTTCTACTTTCAATCGCAATCGTAGTTGCCTTTTGCCAAGTTTCTTCTACGCATGCATAGCAGATTTAATTTTTTTGAATTGTTCTCAGCTTTGGAAACTTAACTTCGGCACGAAGAATGATCGCGAATATTTAGGAAACGAGAACGGTATTAATGACGGTTTCCTTATGCGCGCGTGTACACGGAGGTCATTTTTGGAATTTCGCTGGCTTTTTACTCATACGTAAACCGAAGGAAAATTGTGGTCCTACTTTAGCAATTTTAATCTTAAATGGTCCCATTTAGGGAATTTTCCCTTTATTATTTTTCATGAGTGAATGCAAATTGTTTAAGAGAACAAAAAAAGTAAAAGAGTAAAAAAATTGGGAAAGTAATAGCTATTGTCTTCATCCTAAAAAATTGTCATTTTTAAAACGTTTATCATATATTTTTGTTGGAAATTATTTATAATATAAAAATGATATGAAAATGTTATTTGTTAAAAGTAATTTCATAAAAGTATAAAATTTATAACTTTCATTAATAATATTATACTAACCAAAGTCATGGACCAAATTTTATGAGTTGATAGAGTATTTTGGGACGAAGGTAATATATTTTACTCAATTTATGCGTTCTTGGTGTATGAGTTTTAAGGATAAAAATCAGACCGATAACATCATTTGGTTGAGACCACAGTCGACATTCGGATTTTGATTCAGTTTTTCTCACCCTTAGACGGAGTATTTAGGGGAGTGTTTGGATCTGATTCTTAAAACTGCTTCTGCTCCTTCATGGAGCAGAAACACAAGTTTGAGTGTTTGGATGAGGGTGCAGAAGTACTTTTGGTGCTCTAATTTACATCCTAGAAGCAATTTTTTTAATAAGCTGGGAGTGACCAGTTTCTGAAAGCTGATTCTGATTTTGTTCCTACTTTAAAAAGAAGCAGAATCAGTTCCAAACACCCCCTTATGCATATTTGAAAATACTCACCCACTGTGTATCACACATGTGTTTTATGCATGTTTCGTTGCCGCATGTTGGTTCGTTGTTGAAAAAACTATTTTTAGTCATTGTCATCTTTACATGGTTTTGTCAAGAGTAAGCAACCGCTAAACATAAAAAATGATACGGACACAAACGATGACATGAGAATGAAATGTGAAACCAAACATTTTCTATATAAATAAGTTTTTCATAAAGTCAAGCATAGAATGTAATTTGTTTTCAAATTATATTTGTATTGAGTGTTACTATTTTGTTAGACTATACACATTTGTGAGCTACTCCACAATCATATCATTGATACTCCGTAAATCGTATTGAATACATTTCATTTTGCATCAAACTTGATTATTGTGTATGTTTTTTTTTTCTAATTTGAGTAAAACTTCGCCATTTGAATTTCACTTACCGAGCATCCACTTGAGTTGTACTTATTTTTTAATTAAGAACTACTATAGATTCTACCCATTGAATGTGTTTCGAAAGTTATTGTGCTTAAATGATAGCATTACTTTTCATATACGGACTTACTAACATTTTCTCACAAATTCATATTTAAGTATTGTTTAATAATGCCATAATACACTTCACATATTTGCATCCCCCGATTTGCCAATTTACCAGGACAATTCGTGTAATAAAAGCAATTCGTATAAATGCATAGTCACCATATTACTTCAGATGTTTATACTTAGACGACTTATTTCAGTCTCAGACCAAACCAAACTTAAACAAACCAGACCAGACCATACTTGGATATTAGAAATAATAGAAGCACCTATTTAAACATTTTCCCGCAAATTTAGATTCAAGTATGATTCAAGAATGACATAACACACTTTCACATATTTTACTCCCTTATTTTACCTTTTTTTTAAAATGAACTTTCCCATTTGAGAATCAATCAGATAGTAACAAAACAACAAGCATTAAATATTTGACCAGCAGTAGGTACGCGTATAGAATTAATACTACGTATAATATAATTAGCTCCTACCCTCTCCTCTCCATGTAATTAACCAGAGTCAAAGTTAATAAGTAATCTAAGAACCAATTAATGTTCCAGGGATTGAGCCTGTCTCATTCTCAAGTTACTTGGTTTCAGCAACTCATCATGTATCCGTGGCAATGGATGCAGCTGAGGGAACAACAACTTCTGGTAAGGGACGGATTTGAAGGGGGGATAAGTGTAGTGACTTGTTGAGTTGAAGGGGCGGATGAATGTTGCTGCAGCTGCCAATGCTTAACATCTTCTTTTCCTTTAGAAGACCTGAAACTCCCACCATCCCAAGGGCTTTCCTCACTTCATTTGCAAGTTCAACTATGTACTTATCCTCATGCCCAATATGACAATATCATGCAAGGCTTTCTCCATTTTGAAAATATATATACTCCCTGTTGTTCCCGCAAGGACCAAAAGCAGTAGCTATTTGTTTTGCCATTACTTCTACTGGAGCAGGTCCCAGGTAGTACTTGTTATTCACTTTGTCTGGAGTGGACATTAACACCAAAACTCCAGTTATAGCAGGATAAACAGGGTCTTGTTCCGTGAAAAAGTCCATTGAAGATTTGTGATCATATTCACATTCTCTTCGCTCCAAATACTCCATAGCCTTCTTTTCCTTCTCTGCCCCTCCTCGAACACAATAGGCAGCACCCCAACAGATGGCTCCCTCACTTTTCTCCAAGGTGCAAGTTCTAGCAGGGTTTTGAGGCATACCTCGGTGATCAATGCAAGCTAGATCGAAAACCCGCATGTAATCCCTGATGTACCCAATCTTCTTCTCATCGTATTCAAACCCGGGATTCCAAACCAATGACCCGTATCCGAATATCCAGAACCCCATCCTAATGATGATCAAGCTTCTTCTTCACAAACCTGTCAACAATCACGAAGAATGTCTCTGGATGGAAAACACGAAAGGAGTTTCTTTCCTCGGACAAAGACAATGCTTGCTTAAAAATTAAAATAGGTTTGCTTTGAACTCAAAACCCTAACCTGACAGGAGGCGGGAGGGAGCCCGGAGACTTTCTTGGCTCTCCTTCAACCAGGCCTCTCTCTATGGAGATTCCCCCCTTATTTTACCTATTTGGAGAGACAATCTGTCTAAAAATGAAATTCGTGTAAATTTATAGTCATCTTATTACTTGGTCATTATAAACAATTTACCTTCAATTAATTTATATAAACCTTTGAAAATGAAAAAAGTGGCAAAATCATTAGTGCATCACAAAGTGAATTACTAGCAAAACATTTCACTAAAAGAAATGATTTTGACATAAGTTAGTGCGAGATAAAATGTGTTGATTCCTAAGCATTCCTATTAACAACTTCAAATGTTAGTAGTCATTGTGACGCATTGGTTTTGTTGTTGAAAATGCCTTTTTTAGTCATATTCAACTTTGTGTGGTTGGGTTAATAATAACCAATCGATATTATAGTGTGTGATACATAATATAAAAACATTATAGTGTGTGATACATACAATAAATAAAAGTCAAGGTCAATCTTTGTCCCGTGTTAGGTTGTTGTTGAAAAAAACGGTATTTACCCACGGACAATTGTATGTTGCAGTATCAAGGGTTTCTCATCGTTGTTGTTTGAAAATTCTAATTGTTGATGAAGATGAAGAAATCACAGACAAGACTCAGAATGTTGTATTCAAATAAATGTTCAACAATGTTTAGGTTTACATTAAATGCATATTTACAATGTTATAGTTTCAACGTATTTGTTGGATGTTTGTGATCTTTTAAGTAATGCTTAGTACTCTCAGTTTGACCATAATATTATAAGTGTGTTTCGTTTAATGTTTCGATGTATATCAGTATTACATGAAGATAGATGTTGTCATTAATTGATAGTGTGATTTGAATTACTAAGCACACATAAATTAGAAAGAAAAATTCTCGAACCGTGCATCGCACGGGTGAATTACTAGTGTGTGTGTGTGTGTGTATATATATATATATATAGAGAGAGAGAGAGAACTGATCAGGGCCAGCCGGAGGGACGGGAGGCGCCGTGCGAACTCCGCCATTTGGGGCGGTTTCCGGTGGAATATTTTGATGAAATTTTTTGAGCATGTTCCTAATCAAGTCTAGTTGGTCCATACCAAATTTCAGTTCAAAATTCGACCGGGAAAGCATTCAAATCATTTTTTGAAGTTGACTGCACCAAAATATACATATAAAACGCAGTCAACTTAAAAAATGATTTGAATGTCTTCTCGATTGAATTTTGAGCCGAAATTTAGTATGGACAAACTAGACTTGATGAAGAAGATGTGAAAAAAATTCCATCAAAAAATTCCATTGGAAACCGCTCCAAACGGCGGTGTTCGGACGGCGGCTGGACAAGGGAGGGCTGGACCTAATCTTTTCCGTATATATATATATATATATATATATATATATATATATATATATATATATATATATATATATATATATATATATATATATATATATATATATATATATATATGTATGTATGTATGTATTTTCCGGACCAGTTAACTTGCAAAAATCATTTGACGACCTTCCCGATCGAATTTTGAGCTGAAATTTGGTATGGACAAACTAGACTTGATGAGGAACATGACCAAAAAATTTCATCAAAAAATTCCACCGGGAAGGTGCCCAAACGGGCTCGGCCGGACGGGGCAGCCCGTCAGGCCGGCCTGATGAGAAGAGCTCTATATATATATATATGTATGTATGTATGTATGTATGTATGTATGTATGTATGTATGTATGTATGTATGTATGTATGTATGTATGTACTACTATTCTCACTCGTGCTTTGCACGTTTGAAATAATTAAGCTTGTATGAATTGAATTAAAAATAAGTTTGTTTCAAAATTACACATCAAATAATTTACAAAACCCAGCAAAGAGACAACAAAAAACATCCTATTTGACATAATTTTACATGGAAAATCTATATAATATAATAAAGCAAACCTTGGTGGAATGTTTAGATTTTTTTTTACATGTGGCAACACCCTTCATGGGAATTTCGCCAAGTGGCAGCCTCACATTTAATTTTACTCCATGTTCCTATAGTAGTTTCGTATGATAGTATAATAAACCATAAAAGAGACAACATTTGTATGCATGTAAAAAAAATTGAAGGAAATCTGTTCAGCTTGTAAAATGCATGTATATATAAACTTAAAGGAAGCATATTGGAGCCTCTTAGTAAACGTACATACTACATGTACACATCATTTATAAGCATTTAAAAAGATGAACGAAAATCTATTCACATTCCAAAACTCCGTGTATATAGTATATTGCGTATTATACCACTTTCGTCCAATTTTATGTGTCCTACTTTGATTTTGCGTAATTATTAATAAAGCGGTTGAAAAAAATTTGTATTTGAGATTGAGTATAATAAAGCGAAATCCAGAAGATCACTATCACATGTTTGTTTTAAAAAAATGTGGTACTTATTTTGGGACAACCCAAAAAGAAAGATATACATATAAAATGGGATGAAGAGAATAACATAAATGACAACCTCATCAACAAACGAATAGTGTTTCAATTATAGACCAAAGTCTAGAGGTCTGATCAGAAATATTTAGATAATAATTTTGATGATGATGATGATAGTAATAATAAAACTAGTGGTACCCCTAATAGTAATAGTAATAATAATGGTAATGGTAATTATAATAATAATAGTAATAACACTTATAGTAGTAATAGTCAAAGTAATAATAGTAGTAGTAGTAATAATAATATTAATAATAAAAATAATAATAAACATTCAATCGGACAAGTGATGTTCAAATTAGGTAATATCGGAAGGATTCAGATCAGATCAGATCAAATAAGATTTCAAAAAAATAGATAAAAAACATTCATATCAGGTTAACAGAACAATTTCTTACTCTTTTGTCTCATGTACATTTCTACTTTCATCGGAATTCATAGTTCAAGCTGTCAAACGGGTCTACACTCCCCTATCTTACCCAATTTGTGGTGGGTTATTCTTTTCATTTCTTGGATCGGCCTAACCGTCTAATGGTGTCAAATTAAAAAAAAAAATAGAAAAATTTTGTTAATCAGATGAAATGTTGCAAAAATGACATTTGGGAAATAATTAGGTTAACTACATAAAACTTTGGCTTAATTAACAAAAGTGATGTTTTTACAACTGATGATAAGAATATGACATAAGTAATAAAAGTGACATTAGAAGAAGAGGAAGACATGCTAACAATCATGCTAACATTTCCAAACTAATCAGATATTTTAAGCCAGGATTGGTCTGTTTAGTTGTGATCTACTCAAATATATTTATGTTCGATTAGGTCTTTTTATTTTTGGTCACGTCGAGACGAGACTAAAGCAACTTTAAATGAAAACGTATTAATTGACGTCATATTTGTATATATAAATTCTTTTAAGTTATTATTAAAAAAACGCTAAGCAGTTACATTCATAAAAAAGTACCAAAAATCCATATAAACCAATTATTACTTTTACACATACTTCAAAGTGGTGTTAAAATAACTTTAACATTTGCACACTAAAGTCTAGAAGTAGAAATGAATTTGGTATTAAATATATTACTCCATCTATCCCAAAAAATTCTTCACATGTTCTCACGGATCGGAAAATCAAGGTCCACACTTTCAAGGATCTGTTGGCTTCAATTTGGCGGCCAGGTAAAGGGATGTCAATCAAAGAGATTGACGATAGAAGATATTTGTTTACTTTTTATCATATTGTGGATATGAATCGTGTGCTTGAAGATGGTCCATGGTTATTTGAGAGAAATTTAGTACTGCTTAAAGTGGTAGGACCAGATGATATCCCACATAAGATGAATTTGTTTAAAACTGAGTTCTTGGTGCAAGTGCACAATGTTCCTGATAGTTTTATGAATATAGGTACTGCTAGAAGAGTGAGTAACTTTATTGGGGAGTTTATTAGGTTTGATGAGAGTCACTTTGGTGAAAAGTGAGAGTCACATTTGAGGATTAGGGTGAGATTGGACATAAGGAAGCCTCTGGAGAAGGGCTCTTCCCCTACGAGAGGGCGAGTTGGACACTGGGTGGACTTTAAATATGGAAAAATGCATAAATTCTGTTTTATTTGTGGGATAATTGGACATTCCGATAAATTATGTCCCTTGAAATATGAGGATGATATAGTGTTGAAAAAAAAATCCTTTGGGGTAGAACTGCGAGCATGTGGAGGGGTGAAGACTAGCCCAACAGGGGTAATAAGTGGCTAGTGGAAAAACATTCAGGTTCAAGGGTGTTTAGACGGCAGAGGAGGATTGGTCAAGAGGGTGAAGGTACTGGGGAACAGGAAGGACAACTGGCTACAACTGGGACAAAAAACAGTGCCACCAAAGAAGAAGACAGTGGCAGTGCTGAGGAGGTGCCAGTGGACCAGAAACGCAGAAGAATATGGGAGAAATGGCCACAAGAGGACCTAGAAAGTGAGAGTGTGGCTCTGGATAAAACAAAAAACGGGGATGCAGTGGGTCCATGCTTCTAGACCCGCCCTGCCGGTCATGCGAGTGGTGCTCCTGGTGAAGAAGACAAACTTTGTCTTTTATTTTATTGTTATTTTGCATTTTAATTTCCATGTTGAGATTGTTGTTTTTGATTTTTTTTATTTATTTGGTGTTGTAAGACTTTTGCATTAGGATGAGTGATGATAGTTCTGCAGTAACCATTTTAGGCTCAGTTATGCCCAATTTAGGATCATCGAGTTATATTGCTTTGTCAAAGGTGATTAACTCAGAGTCTAGTTCAAGGGCGGATGGTTACATACTTACATGTGATTCTTTTGTTATTTTAACCCCTATCTTCTGATATCAA